TATGATGCAATTAAATATATGATCAGATTTCACATTAATTTCTAATATTTAATATAAAAGAGGAAAAGCTATTTAATGAAAAAATACTTTATCAATTCAAGTCTGTTTTAATTTGTTGAATTGCATAACCTGAATTCTGAATGTAATAGGAGGGTTAAGTTTGTCTAGTTGTTTATTTTCTCATCATTTTTTTTTACCACAGTATGTAGAATCTTTACATTTAGGTTTAAAATATTTTGTAATGAAAAGATTTGTTTCAGTATTACAACCCAAATTTGAATAGATAAAAGGTTTTTTCTTTATATCTAATAAACCACTGTTATTTACATGTTTAAAATTTAAAAGTTATGATGTGTATTTCATAACTTAAATCTGTTGAATGAAAGAGATCAGATTTAGTCTTTTCTCTTCTTAGGTCCTTGTATTTTTTTATATGTGTACTTTGGCTTTATAAAGCTTAAAGAATTAAAAACTTCAAAATTTTTTAAGATTTTGGGTCTTTGTTGTTGTTTTTTAACTATTATAATCACTTGGAATTGCTCTATATACTGCTTCAAAAGAACTATATATAACACTGTTATATGGTACAGTATAAGTTTAAATATATGTACAGTGATCTTGAGTATTTGTGAAAGATGCCTTACGAATTTACTGATTTCCTGTGAAGTTGATGTTTTCAAAAACTTTATCCCAAAGTGTCTCTTGTAGAGAAATCATATAAAATAATTTAAGCTCTTAAGTACAGTTTTATAATAGCAGAGTAAAACTTAAAACTGTAGATAAAATGACACATTTCAAAACTAAATTATGTAAGAAATGTTGCTAAAGTTCCTCAATAAAATTTATGATTAATTATAATAATTAGTCTTAGTTATGAGTAACAGGCAAACCACAAAAAGATTCTATGATCACTGTTAGGTTATCATTTGGGTATCCTTATTATTAGCAGTACTTTGAGCTAAATTACTCTGTTGTCTAGAGAGTCCTTACCTGTTAAAGTCACCATTAATCTACCTCGAGCCTTGATATTTTTTCCTGTATTTCTTAAGCACATTCAGTTTCTGACATTGTGGATAAAATTATTATCTGAGGATTTGGCAGTGTATATTTGTACTTCTATAATTAACATATACAGTGTTTGGATTATAAGAATTATGATGTAAGCATTCATATATTATTAGTTGCAAACGTCTTTTTATGTAATGTCATAAAACTGTCCATTTCAATGAAGAATGACTACTGAATAAGCAAAATAAAAAATGGCTAAAATAGTATTATGCAAACATTTTATGTTGAGAAAAAAAATTTTTAGAACACTGAAATTGAAAGTTTTAATATTTTTTTGTTATAAACTTCATTAGAGATACAGTCAATAAAATTGGATTGTTCAGTTATAAGTGCAAAATGTAAATAAAATATGAAGCACTTATGACACAATTACTGATACATAAAATTTCTGTTTGTTATGATGCTATTGCTGATGTATAAAATTCTCGTTTGCTTGCATTTTGTTTATTTTTGGCAGAATCAACTGTTCTTTGGTCCTTGTAAGTGCATTCTACATTGTATAGAAAATGACATTAATTGTGGTTGAAGATAGCTTATAAAACCTGTACTTGCTTAGATAACCACGGCTATCTTTACCCTTATTGCATTTTAATTGTACTTGAATCCTACAATTCTGGATTTGATGTTTAAATTTTTGAATCTACCAACTTCACATGTACTTTAAATATTTACTCTGAACTTTTTGATGAGTGAAAGTGGAAGATAATGTGTCAAAAAAGTGTTCTTTTTTAGTGTAAAGAATCCCAGGCATGATATCTGTAGTACAAAGTTAAAAATGCTCATGTCTCTAAAGTTTACCCAAAACAAAAATAACACAACTTTTAGCAAAATTACACTGTAAAAACAAAGGATGGTTGGAATTTATAAGCTTTTAACTAAAATACAAGTCACTGGTCACTCAGCTTGTACTTGTAAATGCACATTTGGTAGAGGTAGTTTTATACTTTATTCCAGCATAGAATATGGTAATCATAAATAACAAAGACAGGCTAGCATGCTTAAAATCATTATGTTAATAACCTGGGGTATAATTGTGACTTAGCTGAAAGTTCTCCACCCCCACAAGGTATCTTAAGCATCCAGATGCATAGCTCAGTAGCATAATGTGCATGTTTCATGGGAGTGAAATCCATCCAGTGGGCATGCAAACTACTATATTTGAGTCAATCCCTTCTTCGAGGAAAGTGAAATCTGGTTTAGCATGGATAGGGGCAGTCATTATCATCTATTAGTGCTAATTGCACCAGCATATGGTATCACTAAGGGTTGTAATACATGATCCTCTGTAATATGTGGCATTAAGGATATTATTCTGCATGATGCTAAGATTGGTACAAATATTATTGTATATTCTACTTGCATGAAGGAATGTGATTCCAGTTAAGTATACACCTTTATGTGATTAATCTGTAAAAAGTGCAGTGGTTCATTGGTTGTGTCTTTGGCACCATAGCAGACAAGCAAGCTATTTTTTTGTCTTTCTAGGAGAAGAATATGCCTGGCTTACAGGTTGACATTGTGAAGTCAGTGTTTTAACACCTGCCTAATAGCTCAAAGTACTTGAGCTATTATACAGGTGTTAAAACTCAAAGCTCATAACAATTTTATTTTAATACCTCCACCCTTTCCAGATGCTCTTCCACTATAGTGGAAGAGTTTGGCTCACTTCATTTGGTCACAGTTTGTGCTGAATTTGAAAGAGCATAGTTTTTCTTACAATAAGTGGCATGACACTAATATTACAAAATGCTTACTGGCAGCAAAACATTTTGGAAACAAGCTGGTAGGCCACCAGTTAAGAGATCCACATGATACTCGGAGACTGGAAAAAATGGAACAACACCTTTCAGTGCTCACTGAAACCATTCATAACTGTAGGGTTTGTAATGAAAGGATTGCAAGAGCAGAAGATGTATGCAAGGAAATTGTCACTGCACCCATTTTATGTGCAATCACTGTGGATTATACTTGTGTCTCAACCAAGATAGAAACTGTTTTGAACTTTACCATACACATTGACAGTATTGATTGTGAACAATCATTGCTGTATTTGCCATAAGTACCTCAGTATTTATATTATGGTATCTTACTAAGTTCAGAGCCACTGTTTGTTCTGTTGCACTAGATGACAATAAAATCTCATAAATATTTAGTTTGGAAAGGGTTAGAATGTAAAATTCAGTTTTTACTTGAAGCTGTCATACATGTGACCTGAAGCAGACACTCAATTGTAGCCAGTGATGCATGAATATATTCTCAGTTACAAGGTAAGAACGATTATCCTTAATTACTAGATGTACTTCCGCAGGGTCCTCGAAATTGTTCTGTTTCAAAAGTAAATAAAACCAAAATTAAGAGTAACAAATTTGTATTTCTTGCCTTTGAAGTTCATGTGTCATGCTATGTTGTAGCCTACGTTTTACTGATGTCACAACAGTATATATTGCAACATTAAGAATTCCTTGTCTGATGTCATTTTAGTGTCTGCTGACTGACAAACAAACAACACACTACTGTATAATGGTGTGAGTGGCTAAAACAGTTGACCCCTCCGGGCAGCCTTCGATCCCACCCTTTCATGGAAATTAGGTAACAGGTGGGAAACAACAACTTCAAATATGTACCCATATTTAGGTCTATAGGACTTATTCGATTATAATATATAATATCTCTGCAAGAGAGGTTTCAAAAAAATAGCTCATATTTTAGTCAATTTCAATCTGTAACTTGTGAAGTTTATCATTATTTTAAAGACTGGCAGCAATAGACACTTTTGGGAGGCCTGCATGTTATACCAAGTTCCTTAACTGTTGACAGACTCAGTGGAAAGTAGCAAGCTTGGATAGCTATACTGTGTTGTATGTGCATAATGTTTATTAAAAAAAGGTTATATAAATGAAGAGAGAGAGATATATAGTAACCTTCATATGGAAAAAAATGTTCACTGTAGACATGATTTTATAAAAGTAGAATCTTGCATATTTCTAGAAATAATGTTAAAAGATAGTAGTAGTAATGATAGAACAACATTTTGATCAAACTAATCCAATTAATGAAAATTTCCTTGTGCTAGTTTTAAATATCACTGAATCTATTTAAAAGTAACAAAATATTTTCAAAACTCAGTGCAGTGTTCAACTATCTCAAAGTTTTATTATATTATAATTTCCTTGAAGCAAGAATCACAAAGAGTTTCATTTATGCAAGTACATATATATGAAACACATCAGTAATCATGTTGTAAAGCAGCATTACTATCAGTATAGCATTGTTTGTGTAAAATACTTCATCTTAAAATACTACATGGTTAAAATTTTCATAAAAAACATATTGCATGTTTTTTAAGTATTTATGTGCATTACATTTATTAAAGTGATGCAAAACCTAACTTCAGTGTAGTCAGTGGGTGGTGTTTTTTATAATATTCAAGATTAGTTGTGTACAAATGAATACCATATGTTTATATCAACTTGTGTGGTTTCACTGAGTATGAAATACATAAAAAAGGTAGTATTTGGTTTTTGCCAGAACACCAAACAACTTAGAAAAATGAATGTATTTTGCCTGAATCCTAATCGACTTGGAAATTTTGTTTAAGCTTTATCAATTAACCATTCGAAAATTTTGTAAATGTTAATTTTTCTAATTTCCAAGTTGTTCTTAAAGTCAGTATGATTACAGTGGAAAAAACTTAAATGTGTTTTGTAGATTAACAGATGTCTTCCTTATATGTCCATTTTAATACTTACAAAATTTCATGAATATGTTATAAATATTCTGAAATTTAACTAATATACTTTTACAAAATTTGAAATTCTTTAAAACTTCAATTTACTTTGATCTTACAGATTGTCTCCCTCCCCAGAAATTTGTCCAGGGATGGTTGAGACGAAGTAGGTGGAGTAAAAGTATCTGGTATGCTGGAGAGCAATGTCATTACTGTAGTCATAGTTTTTACAGTAGGAGCAGCTTGCTTCGCCATATGAAACGACATCTTATAACTAGAGAAAGATATCGATGTGGTGTGTGCTCAAGAACATACAGTCGGCGAGATAATCTGAAAAGACATATGGAGGTTTGTGCATTGGTACAATTTTGAAACAAGTATATGACATTTCATTGATATTACTTCCTTATGAAGTTTTAATTCCTCAGGTTTAAGCTGGTGAAGTAGTGTGCATGAATGACCGAATTAATATTTCACAAAACATTCATATAATCACAAAAGTTTCCAAAATCTTTCAGTATTTTCTCTGTTGGCAGATTATTACCTATGGAAAATATATGATTTTCCATATAATTTTCCCTTTTTTGTTTTGTTTTTTTCTAAACATATAGACATAGCACTTTTAATGATGAGGAAGAAAACTTTATTATTAAGGCTTCAAAGTATTTAGTACAAATTTTTAAAAAATCCAAACTAAAAGTTAATGTTAATATTGGATTAATTTTTTTGCTGGCCTTTGTCCATTGCAGCAAGACAGTGATGTGTGGATGTAATCATTGGTTTTGCAACCACTTTATGATTGGAAAGGTGTGAACCACAAATTTTACTCAATTAAAACAAAAATTTTAGCAAATGAAAGACAATGAATTAATGGTAAAAAAAAAAAAGTCGCAACTCGCAAGCTTTTGTATAAAAAAAATTGCAGCATGGAATAAAAACCAATGTAAATCATGATCACAAACTCATACATTTACAAATTGTGATGTTTGAAAACCAAAATAGATTTTGGGGGGGGGGGGATTTTTCAAATGGAGAAGATTCAATCAGGAAGCCTTATACATAGTCATTTAAATGGCTTTACATCTTTTTCACCAATCTATTTAAATTTTAGCTGTAGATTAAATTAAAAACAGTGCAATGGTAAATAACAATCCAATGTGAAATACCTTGTTACTAAATGGTTTTGCATTTGGTGGAACAAATGTTTCACCATCAGGTAAAATGTTGAAGTTAAAAAAAGCATGGTAGATAACAATGCAATGTGAAATTTCTTGTTACTGAAGGATAATTCAGTAAACCATGCTAACCACTTTCTGTAAATTCAAATTTTGATTCCCATAATTTTGAAAAATGTGAATGCCAGTATTTTACCAAAAGACTAGTTGTGGCAAGTTTTACCAAATAGTCAATTTGTTTTGGAGGAACTTTACCTCTCCACCATGATGCCGGAGAAGATAATGTTCACTGTTATTTGAATTTAGAATCCATTTCAAACAATTAAGTAAAAGTGATCAAATAGAACTTAACACCTTTGATAAAAGATGTTCTATTTCAAGTTGAGATTGTAATGTAGTTTCCACCATTAAAC